CCCTGTGATCACAGCTCGGGAGGATCTCTGTCTAAGCCTGAGTTGGGCCAAAAGCACAAGACCCTATCTAAAAACAAAACAGCCAGGTGCTGGTGGTTCACACCTGTAATCCTAGCTACTCAGGAGAATGCAGTTCAAAGCCAGCCCCAGGCAAATGGTTGGCAAAACCCTATCTCAAAAAAAAAAATCACCAAAAAGGCCTGGGGGAGTGGCTCAAGGTACAGGCCCTGAGTTCAAATCCCAGTACTGCAAAAGAAAAAAGTAATAAATACATCAAAACAAAAAGACTTAAACTGGGTGGGTCACGTGATGTTGTGATGCTAGTGAAAGGCACAGTTCAGACGCTGGCCGTGGGTCAGCTGACCCAGGGAACAATCGTGCCCCAGGCCTCTGAGTCACAGGGGATCCTGTAGCTGCTGCAAATTGAGAAGTGGGCCTCCAAGAAGGTGCTGTAGACCCCCCACACACACCAAAAGAAAGAACCAAGGGCTGAAACAGGTCAAAGCAGCCCAGGCTGAGGTTAAGCAGTGCCACCTGCAGCGGGAGAAGAGACCAAGGCCAAGGCTTCCCTGGCACTGGGATCCAGTGGTGGCAGCAGCTCTGCGGTGGAGAAGGAGACCCAGGAGAAGACGACGGTCCTCTCCATCTACTTCTAGCAGGACAGGGATGAAGTCCTGGATATAACCTCCTGGCCTTTGTGTGAGACAAGTGTCCAAAAGGCATGAAAACTACTCCATAAATGGAATGGACATGTAGATGCCCTGGTGGAATATGGAGGGCTAGCAAGGCTCCAGTTGTGTTCTTATGAAAGGCATTAGATTATTTACGCATGCTATTTTAAAAAGACTTTTTTAAAAAGCCTCTAAACTCCCAAATTGTGTGTGTGTGCAAGGGCGTGTATTAGCACAATAATATGCATAATGATTCCTTAGCGGGAAACACAGCTATAAAAGAGAAAGAAAGAGGAGAGGGACACAAAGGAGAAAGAAACACAACGTGGAGATTAAGACCAGGAGAAAGAAACCGGAAATAAGTGCAATGACAGACTTTCAATCAGAGTAAAAAAGAGAGCGATGTAGACTGATGAGTCCATGCAGTCTCTCTCCCTTAGCCTGGGGGCACGTCTAGGGCAGGGATTTTTCCTGTCTTGTTCATTATTGTATTCCCAACTCTTAGAGCCACATCGGGCACTCCATGAACATATGTTGACAAACCCACGCTGAAGTAGAGTCCTGAACTTTACAAAGTCACCACCAGGTGGCAGTCTCTTTATGCCCTAGAGCTTCCCAGTGCCAAGCCCATAGGAGACAGAGGTTGGTTGGAGGACTGGCCCCCTGCAGGCCTGGGACTTTCAGAATGTCTTCCCTGGGCCCCAGGCTGCCAGTCTCTGCACAAGCCCCGGGCAACGAGTGACCTTTCCGCCTGAGACACCATCTTCTTCACTTCCCTTCACCACCCTGCCCAATTAAACAACTCTTTGTCCTTGGCCCCTTCCGGCTGGCCCCCAAGGCACCTGGGTCCCTTCCAGGCCCGGAGATGGGGTAGAGATGAAGGTGGGGCAGCTGGGACAAGGCAAGGAAAAAGCCTGGGGACTTCAGAGTCAGTTCTCCCAGTCTTCCGGGACCAGAATTATGAGATCCAGCCCTTCCTCACTCAGAGCCAGGAGGCCATCCCCCAGCCTCAGACCCAGGGGTACAGGCTCCGGTCCTCATCCTTCAGACCCAGGGATCCAGGCCCAGTCCTCCTCCCTCAGACCCAGGGATCCAGGCTCCAGCCCTCCTCCCTCAGACCCAGGGATCCAGGCCCAGTCCTCCTCCTTCAGACCCAGGGATCCAGGCCCCAGTCTCCTCCCTCAAACCCAGGGGTGCTGGCTCATCTCCTGGGCCCATCCTCTTCTGGTGCAGAGACCCCTCTCTCCCTCCACTCCCCACTGCAGAGCTGAGACCAAGGCTGAGTCACAGGAAGCACTGGGGCCCTGAGTCACCCCTCTCCCCAGCTCAGTCCCCCCTGGGCTGGAGAAAGCCGGCTATAGAGAGGTTGCCAACTGCCTGACAACAGCACCTTTGGAGACAGGTGGCCCAGGGCCTTCACCAGTGCCCGCGCGGGTCTCCCATGCCCAGCCTTACCTGCTTTTCTCCTCTGCCGTGATTTACTTGCAGATCACAGTTCTCTGTGGTTTTAATTCCAGTCTTTTCTTTCCCTTCATCTCTGACTCTCTTCTCGCTCCATCTTTTTTATCTTGCTGTTTTGTTTTCCTTTTGTGGTGCTGGGGATAGAACCCAGGACTTCACCTGTGCTGAGAAATCACTCCACCACTAAGCCACATCCCCAGCCCTTATTGATTTTTTAAAATCCATCCCTGCTTCCCTCTGTTTCTCTCTGTACCTTATCCCCAAAGTCTCTCTGATCGTCTGTCTCGTCCTCTGTGTTCTTCTCTGTTCCATTGTGCCTGGAACTGAGGCACAGAGCTGTTTTGTGGCTCTGACTGACAGTCACAGTCTCTGCATCTCTGTCCCTCAGCGCTTCCATGGAACTAGGGTAGAACTGGAATAAGAGTGTCCAAAGCTGTACCAGTGAACAACAGAGAGAAACTGAGTCAGAGAGAAACAGAGAGGCAGAGAGAGACAGAGAGAGAGAGAGTGAGAGAGAGAGAGAGTTGAAGGCAAGGAGAGACAGAAGCAGAGACATGGGTAGAGATGGAGATGCCAATTTAGCAAGAGTCAGAGACAGACCACAACCCAGAGACAGCGAGAATGAGGCTGTAAAGACAGTAGACAGAGAGACAGAGACACAGACTCAAAAACACAGAGGGTCAAGAGGGACATAAGAAGCCAGGAGACAAAACCGGGAGAGAGAACAAAACAGAAAAACAGAAGGAGAAAGGATGAAGACAGAGACAGAGAAACCCAGAGACATGAGAGGCTAAGAGAGTCAGAGACAGGGATCCAGAGAGCCAGAGAAAGACAGCGGAATGGCGAGAGACACCCAGGTACTTGGACAGAGATGGAGAGACAGACGGAGCCATGGGGAGAGAAACAGAAAGACAAACCCAGAGGCCTCAAGAGCAGGGGACACTGAGAAAGGAGTCCGAGACTCCAGGAGGGCGGAGAGAGGTAGAGAGATGGGGCCAGGCCTTAGGAGTGGGCAGAGACACCAGGGCTGCAGCCTGCAAAGCGCCCTGAGGCCACACTTTCTCCAGGGGACACACGGGTGCGGTCTGGGTGTGCCGGGCTGGGTGTGTCTCCATCCCTCTCCTTCTGTGTGTCAACCAAGTGGGCATGGTGCGTGTGCCGTGGGGCAGGGCACCCCAGGGGCTGTGTTTTTGTCACCAGGCGTGTCTGTGTGTGTGGTTTGGTGTGTTTGGGTGTGTCCATGTGGGCTGCCTCGGTGTGTTGCCAGACATGTCTGTCCGCAAGTGTCTCATTTCCCTGTGGTTGGCGGGTCCGTGGTCCTGCATGACACAGAACACATGGAGGAGGCGAGGGTATGTCTGCCTGTCCTCTGAGAGGGGTCCAGGAGGTTACCCTCTGTGTCACAAGATCAGCAGATGCCACCGTGAGACGTACTTTGTGTTACCACACTGGTGTGTCCTTGTGTGTCGCCGGGGGAGGGTTTTGATGTGCATCTGGATACCCGGTGCACAGACAGATCCACGTGTCACTTTTGTGCTTCCGTGTGTCATCCACTTTCCTCACCGTGTGTCCCTCTGGGAGTCACATGCGGTATACCGCAGTGTGTTGGTGTGCGTTGCATGCCTTTGTGGGCCTGTGTGTGCGACGTTGTGCAGCACTCAGTGGTGTCACGCTGCGTCTCTGGTCAGGGTACGTGTCCATGTCATAGTGGAGGGCCTGACTGTCTCTCTTCTTCGCCAAGAGCACAGTCTGAGTGTGAGCTCTGTCAGGGGTGTCATGGCTGCTTTAGGTGACCGGTGCTTTTTATGAAAGCTGTGTGTCTTGGGAAGCGTGTCAACGTGCCTTTGTATATGACCCTGCGTGTGCTGTGCTTGTGTGGCCATGCATGTTGGAGTGCAGTGTGTGAGTATTGTGTGTGATATTCAGGTGTGGCTTTTTGGAGGAGTGATAAGTGTCCTGCACTTGGGCGTTGGGGTCCATGTCGGTCCAATCCCAGCCCCTCCCCGCCAGAGACATCATCCTGGGCTGTGCCTTGTGAAGCCAGAGTGGACCAGAATGTCTAATTTGGGGCACACACTGTTTGCATACCAAAGGCTCTGAATTCATCCATCCCTGCCGTTCTCTGACCACAAATTTGAACCGCATGGCACACCTGGATTTATACTGTGTGTCACTTCTCTACCCACTGTGTGATCACAGGCTGCCATAGCTGTGCCCCTAAATATTGTGTGTTTGCTTGTATCGGGTGTCACTCGTGGATGTGTCATACTTGGAGCACCCTGAGCACCCTGTTTGCATATGTGCATTGTGGGTGTCACCGTATCAGTACTACGGCGTGTTGTGTTTGTGTGGCCAGGAATAAGTGTCACCGTATGTGTGATGTCTGGCTGTGGCTCTGTGTCAGAGCATACGCTGGCAATTTGAAAAGTAATGCTTGTGCCTGTGTGTGGCGGCGTGTGTCCCGGGATGCAGCCTGACTTGCTAAGTGCCGGCGTGTGTCACACCATGTGTGTGTGGTGTCTGGGTGTGGCTGTGGGTTTCAGAGCTTGCCGGGAGTCGTGAGTCATTCTGTGTAGGTTGTGTTGTGTGCTCTGAGTGTGTGAGTGTCCATCTCTGGCCATGGGGTGTCCTGTGGTGGCTGGGTGTGGGGTGTGTAGGTGCAGACTGTTGTAGTCACAGACATTGTGTGTCACTGTGTGTCCTTACCCACGTGGATGGAAGCCTCTTCCTTGCTCTGCCCCAAGACACACCCCAGCCCCTCCCCCATCTGGGAAGGGGGGTTGGGGAGCCTCCCCCTACCCAGGGACCTCCCCGCCCCTCCCTGCCCTGCCCTGCTGCCGTTGCCACTCCCTAGAGGGCACAGGGCTCGCTGTGCCTCCCAGCAAAAGCCCCAGTGTAAGCAGGAGCAGGCCACCGGCCTGGAAGCCAAACTGGCTGCCATTTGCGTACTGAGAGGTGGGGGACCCTGGGCAGGAAACTGGCTGAGCCCCAAGACCGCAGGGGCCATGGGCGGGGAGCTGGTGACTGGCCTGGGGGCCCTGAGGAGAAGAAAGCGCCTGCTGGAGCAGGAGAAGTGGCTGGCCGGCTGGGCACTGCTGCTGGCGGGGCTTGGCATCGGACTGATGGTGGTGCACGCGGAGATGCTGTGGTTTGGAGGGTGCGAGGTGAGTGCAGCCCTCCCGGGGGAGTGGAGGTGAGGCGGGACCCTGGAGGATGGCTGCAGCCTGGACCAGGGGGTCTGAGGGAGGAGGCTGAGTCTGGATCTCTGGTTCTGAAGGAGGAGGGCTGGAGTTTGACTCTTGAGTCTGAGCTGAGGAAAGAGGACTCGGGTCAGAACCCCTAGGTCTGAGAGAGGGAGGATGGCTGTGTCTGACTTCTGAGTCTGAGAGGGTAGACCCTACGGGCCATCCCTGCCAGAGGAAGGGAGCAGAGGTCACAGTGTCCTGGTCTTTCAAGAGGTTCAAGCCAGAGCACAGGAGGTCCCAGTCCCATGGAGGTCAGAGGCCTTGGTAGCCAGGGTTGTGAAGGAGGCAGAAAGACTCAGGTCTTCCAGCAGGCGGTGGCTCCTTGCTCCTTATCTACCCAGCTCCTAGGCTGCAAGGCGCAAAGCCCAGAAGTAACTGGCTGGGGGAGGAGGGATGGAAACACCCGGCTACCCCCCATTACCATCATTTAGAAGCTCAATCCCCACAGAAAATACACGCTGTTTTGGCCGGCAGACAGTGGACAGGCAAATTTGAACTAGCCTGGACTCCTGGGTCCCAGGGGAGGCAGTTGGGGGTCCTGACTCCCAGGTCTGAAGGAGAAGGAGGCTTAAAAATTCTTTAGGCTGAGTGCCCATGGCTCATGCCTGTAATCCTAATCCTAGATACTTAGGAGGCAGAGATTAGGAGGATCATGGTTCAAAACCAGTCCAGGCAAATAGTTCCAAGAGACCCTATCTCGAAAAAACTCATCATATAAAAGGGCTGGTGGAGGGGCTTAAAGTGTAGGCCCTGAGTTCAAGCCCCAGTGCTGCCAAGAAAAAAAAAAAAGTGTTTGGGGAAAATGTCTGATTTGGGGATCGTCAGACCCCAAGTTAGGACCAGGATAAATCTTGGCAGGTTACTGGCACATTCCAGTCCTGTCAGGGCAGTGTGAGGGACAGATGGAGGACAAGGGGTGGATTGGTGACTTGAGGGGGCAGACTTAATCAACAGGAAAGGAGGGCTGGAAACCTGTCTGGGTTAAGGGTCGTGGTATCGGGCTGGGGGCCGGGGGCCCCAGCTGAAGGTTGGAAGGAAAGATTCTGGGGGTCTGAAGCTTAGTCCTGGTACTGGGAACAGGCGAGGTGGCAGCTCTGAAGTTACCAGCAGCCACACAGAGGGTCAAGGCAGGCCAGCTTCCTCTGGCTGGGCAGCTAAGGAGAGGGCAGCAGCACAAAGGGGGTGGGGCCCCTGAAGGCCATGCCAACAGGAAACATGGCCGGGCCTGCCCTGCGCTCCCACGCTCCAGCTCCTCGCCCGGCAGCAGAGGGGGGGACGTGGTGGCTCTGGCAGATGAGAAGAGACAAGGAGGCCCTTCCTCCCCTTCTTACTCTGAGTTCTTCCTTGCACCACCTGCCTGACCACTATCTCCATCATTGAGGAAGCTTCTGCAGCTCTCCAAGCCTCAGTTTCCCCATCTGTAAACTGGGGGTGGGGTTTGTGCAACTACATGGCCATCAGGGGCCTGCTCAGCTCCTTTTTTAAATTTTTGCAGGGCTAGGGATTGAACCCAGGGCTTCGTGCATGCTAGGCAAGCTCTCAGCCGCTTGAGTCACTCCCCCATCTCAATTTAACAGGCTCATTTTGCAAGGACCCAGACTGGCACCTACTCTCCAGGGGGAGGGGTCACAGGAGGAGCAGATGCCAAATCCTGGGGAAGACAGGTGAACAAGATAGAGATATGATTGCAGGGGGGTGGATAGGGAGGAGTTCAGAGAGACAGAGACACAGGGAGGTAGAGATACACAGAGAGAAGATGGAGAGACAGAGACAAAGATGCAGTAAGGGACGGAGGGGTGCAGCCACAAAGACAGATGAAAGGACTCTAGAGCAACTGAGAAATATCTTAGTGAGACACACAGAGAGGTAGAAAGGCCAATAGAAACAGAGTCACTCAGCTGGGTATGGTAGCACATGCTTGTAATCCCAATCCTAGCATATGGAGAGGTGGAGGCAGAAGAAGGAGGATCTCACTGTGTACCCCAGGCAGCCTGTGGGGTACATAGTAAGACTCTGTAAAATACAGAGAGAGAGAGAGAGAGAGAGAGAGAAACTACCCTCAGAGTACTGGTCCAACTGTAGACAGTCCCAGTGGAAGAAGAATAGTTAGAGGCTGATGTCTAATGGGATGGGGGTTGAGACCAACTGAAGGGAGAGAGGAACCAAGGAGCCAAGGAGGATGAAGGGGGTGGGGAGGGCTGGGGACAACAGCAGTATTGTTCAGGGAGGGGCGGGGGGAGGCCCCCCTGGGACAGGAAACTGGCCCTCTTTCCCCAGTTCACAGGCAGGGCCCTGGCTGGGGCCCAGCCAGGGGAGCTGGAAGCCGTTAGAAGAAACAGGTGCAGGGCTCTAGGTGGGAACACAGGTGCCCCTCTCCTTGACAATATCCCCCAGACAGGGACCAAAGCCCTCCACTTTAGGGAAGTCAGCAATCCCAGTGCCCTCAAAATCTATTCCTCCAAGGTATTGCTACACAAAGAGAGGAAAAAAAAAAAAAAAGTCTAGCAGTTTCTGGAGGCCCTGTGCATCCGGCCAGATCTGCCCCAGGCTTAAAGCCAAGAGAGATGGGAGGAGGGGGAGGTAGGAGGAGTCGCAGTGGGGCAGACCTTGGGGGCCCTCTCAGAGCTGGGGCTGGGGTCTTAGAGATACAGTCCCCAGGATGGGGACAGGGAAGGGCATTGCTCAGTTCTTAGGGAATTGAATGGTAGTTTCTAGGCTCTTCTGGAATGGGTGGGGGAAAATGCCAGTTGTTTCTAGAGCAGAATCAGTGGGTGGGAAGAGAAGAGGAGGGGGTGCACTCTAGAGGCCAGGCCTCTTTCACCAGGCACTCCTCAAACACGTAACTGAGGAGCCATTTTTCATGGGGAGAGGACAAGAGACTAGGAAGGAATGTGAGTTTCAAGACCTCTCTTCAGAGAGGTCCAGGAGGAAGAGATGAGAAGAAGGGTGGACACAGAGCTTGGGGACAGGGCTGTCCAGTTGGGAACCTGATGGCTTGGATGTGCAGATAGAGAAGGGATGGGGGTTCTGGAAGAAGGGAGAGGGGACTGGAAGCTGGAAAGCTGAGTCCTCACTGTCTTTCTCCCGCAGTGGGTCTTCTACCTGCTCCTGGTTAAGTGCCTGATCAGCCTTTCCACCATGCTGCTCCTGTGTCTCATTGTGGCCTTCCACGCCAAAGAGGTCCAGGTAAGGCAGCCATGACCTTGATCCGCAAGCCCTAGGCGCCCTGTCGGCCCAGAGTTCCACCTCCCTCTCCTCCGGCTCTGAATATAAGGGTCCTCTATCCTGAGATGCAGTCACACCCTTGCCCACAGGGATGGAACAAGCCACAGACAGGCAGGCAGATAGACAAGCACATAGCAACTCCTGGGGGCAGCCCTCAGTCTCCCTCTTGTACACTCAGGGATGCTGAGCGTTCCCGCCCTTCTCCCTCCCTTGCAGCTCTGTGCCCACATGTCCTCAGGCAGCCTCTCTCCAAGCTCAGCCTCCCAGATCCTTGCTCTCCAACCTTGTGTCCACACATCCCTGTCCACTTCTGACCTCCCTGTCTCTGCCAGTACTTCCCTCGGACCCAGAAACTCTCCTTACCCAGCCCCACCTGTGTTCTCACCCAGACACATCATCTGCCTGGTCTCCCCCAGTCCTGTCCCCTCCCCTCTCCTCCATAACTTGCTATATGGAATGGTTATGAATGGTAGCACCCCAGGCAGAGCCTGGCACATGAGACACTCTCAATAGCAGAGCAGTGAGTAGCCTGGGCCTCAGTTTCCATATCTGTGAAACGAGGTGGTCATAACGCCCATCTCACTGTGTTGTAAGCATTGGTTAGTTACAACAGATCATGCAGAAAGAAGTCCTGGCCCATCCAAAGTTCCCTGCAAATGTTGGCTATGTTACTGCTAATGACCTCACTATGACACTTAGGTGTCCCCAGAATCGGGAGTAGGAGAGGCAGCCAGGATGGGAATATAAGCCCCAGGGAGGCAGAGGTTTTCTGTCTGCCTTGTTCACTATGGAACGTGGCTGAGCACACAGTAGATGCGGGCACACAGTAGGTGCTCATTAGTGTTCACGGACTGCAGTTCTGGCAGTGGGTAGAAACTAGGAGAGGAGGAGGAGAAGGTGGAGTGATGTCTTCCTGGGGTCCGCCCCATTCCTTCCCCCGGACTCCCCAGCCCCACGCCCAGCGCTATCTCTCTCGCTCCAGGGCCGGGCGGGCACCCCATCTTATCTCGGGGCGCAGGCGGGGCGCGCCGATCGTGACCTGCACCTGACCCCCACCCCCTTCCCGGCAGCTGTTCATGACCGACAACGGGCTCCGGGACTGGCGCGTGGCGCTGACCCGGCGGCAGGCGGCGCAGATCTTGCTGGAGCTGGCGGTGTGCGGGCTGCACCCCGCCCCGGTGCGGAGCCCGCGGTGCGCGCCAGGCGTGAGGACCGCGGCGCAGACCTGGCCGGGCTTCCTGGGCGAGGGGGAAGCCCTGCTGTCGCTGGCCATGCTGCTGCGTCTCTACCTGGTGCCCCGCGCGGTGCTGCTGCGGAGCGGGGTCCTGCTCAACGCGTCCTATCGCAGCATCGGGGCTCTCAACCAGGTCCGCTTCCGCCACTGGTTCGTGGCCAAGCTGTACATGAACACGCACCCGGGTCGCCTGCTGCTTGGCCTCACGCTTGGCCTCTGGCTCACCACAGCCTGGGTGCTGTCGGTGGCCGAGAGGTGAGGAGCCTGGGCAACCGGGAGGGAGCCACAGACCGCCGAGGTCGCCCTGTACCGTGGCGCAAGTTGTGCGCAACAACGGAAAAGGCTCACACTTTCCATCTCTTTTTGGCTGGGATTTAGCCCACACCCTTCTGCAGCGGCGGTTGGAGGAACCAACTGGCCGGCCCCAGCCAGTCCTCCGCTCGCTCACTGCTCACTGCCTTGGGTCTCCACAGACGCACACAGACCCTAGGAAGCCCCACCCGGCTGGCTTCCGGACTGCTCCGGCCTCAGGTTTCAGTGCATCTTGCCCAGGCTCTGGGACCTGGCTAAGGGCTGCATCTTCCTTGGAGGAAGGGGACAGAGGCCGGGCGCGTGACTCGAGTGGTGGAACTCCTGCCTAGCAAGAAGTAGGCCTCGAGTTCAAAAACCCAGTGCCACCAAATTAGCACAGAGGTGCTTGCTGTGATGTGACCCAGGAAAGGAGGTGACTTGGTGCTACTCAGGAGAAAACCCCCTTGCAGGGAATTTTTCTCCCTCCCAGGCTATTGCCTGGGAACCCTGAGCCTCAATTTCTCTTTTACAGAGAAAATGTTGGGAGTCATTTTAGCCAGTGGTTCTCAAAGTGTAGTACCAAAGCCAGCAAAGCAGATTCTTAGGAGGCCCCGCCCACACCTACCGAGTCTAGAACTCTAGAGGGCGGGTGTCCAGCCATCTGTTTACAGGAGCCCTCGCTGGCCACTTTGAGACCCTCTGGTTTAGTGTATCTGGCAAGCAAAGGATTCTGGAAGGAAGGTGGAGAACTGACAAGATCTGGCTTTAGATGGTTCCTGCCTGAGCCTCAGTTTCCTCCTCTGTAAAATGAGTGTCAGATCCCACCATCTTGCCAGGCATGGTGGTACACTTCTGTAATCCCAACACTTGGGAGGCTGAGACAGGAGGATTATGAGTTGTCAGAGTCCAGCACAGTGAGTTCCAGGTCAGCCGGAGCTATGTTAGGAGACTCCCGTCTCAAAAATCAGTGTCCCTGGCAATTCGGTTCTTTTGTGCTCCTTCACTTTGAAGGCTCCTTGGAACTGGCCTGACCTGGATTTGAATCCCATAGCTGAGTGGCTGAGCATCTTGGCCAGGCCACACAGCAGACAAGAGGCCAGGCAGGTTCTCCAAAGCCCAGAACTCTCTGGCTTTCTGTTCAGTAAAATTGTGGCTGAGGAAGGGAGGGGAGGAGAGGGGAGGAGGGGGGCCCCAAGCATCTTGGACACCTCCAGGGCGGGTTTCAGAACTAACCTACCCTTGCCCATAGGCAGGCTGTGAACGCCACCGGGCACCTTTCAGACACGCTGTGGCTTATCCCCATTACGTTCCTGACCATCGGCTATGGGGACGTGGTGCCAGGCACCATCTGGGGCAAGATCGTGTGTCTCTGCACAGGAGTCATGGTAAGTGCAGCTGCCAGGGGCCCTGCCCCATCCTGAACTGTTGTCCTCACACAGGCAGGGATACTGCCTGAGAAACTTGGGTGTCTGCACCCCACACAGCCTCATTCCCTCTTCAGGACCAAGACATCCAGAGCCCCTCCCTTCCTTCCTCTTTTTTTCCACACTGGGGATTGAACTCAGGGCCTCCTACTTGCTAGGCAAGTGCTTTACCATTTGGACCACGCCCCCCCAGTCCTTTTGCTTGTTTGTTTGTATTTGTATTTTGTTTTTGAGATAGGATCTTGGTAACTTCGCCCAGACTGGTCTTGAACTCATGATCCTCCTGTTTCTGCCTCCTGAATAGCTAGGATTACAGGCATGACTCACCAGCTCCTGTTTTCTTTTCAGATCAAGGAATCTGCCTTTCAGTCCTTGGTCTCTCCAGAGCCTAGGGTACTCAGGGACCCTGGCCCCTGATTTTGCAGACCCATTTCTTTTCTTCGAGAGCCCAGGAATCCAGTCTTCCCTGAGGGTCCAGGAGCATGCCTTGGGGGCCAGACTCCGTGCTTCAAATCCTGCATCTGCCTCTTCCCAGCTGGGAGGCTTAGGCAAGCTGCAAATTCTCTCTGGGCCTCAATTTGCTCATCTGTAAAATGGGGTGCCAACCCTAGTATCCTCCTCGTGGGTTTGCAGAAACCTAAATGAATGGAGCCACAAAAAAGCTTCTAACAAGAAGCCTAGGAAGTGCTCAATAAGTGGGGCTGGGGACACTGTGACCATAACCGCCCCCCACATCTGGGTCTGTGCCTCGAGGAAGAGGCTCCCCAGCCCAACTCAAGGCCCCTCCCCAGATTCAGCCTCCTTTTGAATCCAGACACCCACCTTCTCCCTGCTGCAGACACAGCCATCTGGTTCTGCCCACCCAGCCCAGTTCTCAATGGTTTGGCCTTCACCTCCCCACAAGATCGGATTCCTACCAGGGTGTGGTGGTGCACACCCATAATCCCAGTAATTTGAAAGGTGGAGGCAGGAGAAGCATGAGTTCCGAATCAATCGGGCAAAGTTAGTGAGACACTGTTACAAAAACAAAATAAGCTTGCGAAGTGGCTGAAGTGGTAGAGTGCCTGCCTAGCAAGCACAAGGCCTTGAGTTCAAACCCCCATACTACCGAAAAAGATTTAAAAAGCTGCTGGCTTACACCTGTAACCCTAGCTACTCAGGAAGCAGAGACCAGGAGGATCACGGTTGGAAGCCAGCCTGGGCAAAAGCTTGTGAGACTCTATCTTAAAAAAACCCATCACAAAAAAAAAGGGCTGGTGGAGTGACTCAAGGTGTAGGCCCTGAGTTCAAACCCAGTACCACAATAAACAGATAAATAAAAATAACAAAAAGACAAACAAAAGGGCTGGGAGTGTGACTCAAGTGGTAGAGCCCTGGTCTACCATGTGCTGGGTTCAATCCCCAGCACCAAAGAATAAGATAAAGGAAAGACCGAGCTAGAGCAGGATGTGGAGAAGGATAGAGAAGGGGGACCCCGTGGAAGCCAGAGGTCTGCCCCTGCACCCCAGCCAGCCTCCCCCCAAAAAAATCATTTCCTTAATGAGAGGCTGTTCTGGTAATCGCATACAGGATTCAGGCCCAAGCGTTTGTGCCTTCTGATCCTGGCTCCCACCACCCACTCTGACAGTTGCTTGTCTGTGAACTCGGGGTAGGACCTGGCTGGCCGCCAGATTCCCATACCTCATGCCACAGTGCCTGCTGTGCCCACAGGGGGTCTGCTGTACAGCCCTGCTGGTGGCTGTGGTGGCCCGGAAACTGGAGTTTAACAAGGCAGAGAAGCATGTGCACAACTTCATGATGGACATCCACTACGCCAAAGAGGTACGTTTCCCCAAGCACCAGAGCACACCTCCACTTCAAGAGCCAGGTAGTGCATGCCTGTAATCTCAACTAGTCGAGAGGCAGAGGTAGGAGGATCTCAGTCCAAGGCCAGCCCTGGGCAAAAAGTGTGAGACCGTATTAGAAAAATTACTAAAGCAAAAAGGACTGGAGGCATGGCTCAAGTGGTAGAGCACCTGCCTAGCAAGCAGGAAGCCCTGGGTTCAAACCCCAGTACTGCAAAGAAAAAAAAAAAAAAAGCAAGGCCCCCTGTCCCTCCCCAGTCCCCTGTCCCAGAGCCCTTGGGATCATTTCCACTGACACTGTGCCACCCGCTGCCAGATGAAGGAGTCAGCTGCACGGCTGCTGCAGGAGGCCTGGATGTACTACAAGCACACTCGAAGGAAGGACTCCCGAGCCGCCCGCAGGCATCAGCGCAAGCTGCTGGCCGCCATCCATGCGTGAGGGCTGCTCTGTGTGTCCGCATCACCTCTCTGCATGGCTGTGTGTGTGCATACTTGTGCCTGTCTCGCTAGACCAAAGCCACGTGGATCTGACCGTGACTCTATGTCTGTGACCCTGGATTCCTGGGGCCGGGGCCTCATCCCCCGCCCCCCGGGCTCTGTGCTGTGTCCATGTTGGTCTCTATTCCCCTCATCCCTGAGCCATGTCCCCAACTAGGGACCTGGGTGTAGGACTGACCCTTGCTCTTCCCCCAACAGGTTCCGCCAGGTGCGGCTAAAACACCGAAAACTCCGGGAGCAAGTGAACTCCATGGTGGACATCTCCAAGGTGCCAGAGTCCCTGGGAGGAGGGCTGGGAGAGGGTGGGCTGGGGCTGCAGGTCCTGGTGTCCTGTGTGCGTGGGAAGGGGTGACAGTAGAACGAAGGAGGGAAGGAATGAGGTGGATCTAAACTTAAAAAGAAAGCAGACAAAGAACGCCAATGTTTGGCTTTAAATTATCTTTATTACTTATATGTGGACGGATATAAAATTCCTTCCAACTATGACTCTTAGACAAATAAAACCAAAGCAAATTTACAAACCAAGTTTAAACATAGATGGCAAACCCATAAAATTCAGCTTAATGACGCTGACTCGAAGACAGGGGCCATTGTTTCAGGAAAACGCAATCTGTGCTGCTGTTGGAAAGGGGGTGCCCAGGGCCAAAGGTGGGGGGCCCCGCCCTTCTTCCTTTGCAACCACTCAATTCCACTGGTGACAGTGACATCACGCCTCTTGGTCTGGCTCACCTCTTTACATGGTGGCCTTTACTTTTTCTCTTTAGTCCATGACAACTCAAACAGTGGCCTTTGGCACCAGTGCTAGGGTCTGCAAACTCCATGGCAGGTCTCAGTGAGGAGGTGGTAGCTCAGACTGACCAGAATTGACGGCTTTTTAAAATTATTATTATTATTATTTTTCAGTACTGGGGCTTGAACTCAGGGCCTACACCTTGAGCCACTCCATCAGCCCTTTTTTGTGATGGGTATTTTCAAGATAGGATCTCAAGAACTACTTGCCAAGGCTGGCTTTGAACCAGGATCCTCCTAATCTCTGCCTGTTAAGTAGCTAGGATTATAGGCGTGAGTCACTGGCACCCTGGCGTGAGAAATAAATAATCTTTATTTCTAAAGATTATTGAAGTTCAAACACAGAATTCAAGAATTCCCATAGACAGGGCAACTGGGGAAGAGGAGACAGGAGGTGGGAGGCCAGCCCAGGCTAAAGTTAGCAAGACCCTATCTCAAAAATAAGCTGGGTGTGGTAGTGCACATCTGTAATGTCAGCTACATGGGAGGCAGAGTTGGGAGGACCAAGGTCTGAAGTTAGCTCTAGGCAAAAATTCAAGACTGTGAAAAACTACAAAGGACCAAGAACGTGGTTTTAGTGGCAGAGCACTTACGCAGCAAGCTCAAGGCTCTGGTTCAGTCCCCAGTACTGCAAACAGATAGGTAGACAGACAGATAGATAGATAAATTGCCATCAAACACTGGTAAACCCTCAAGGCTCATGCTGTGAATCCACTTGCAATTGTAGCACAGGCTCTCTGGTTTTGAAGTCAAGTATCAAGCCTACAAACATTTAATGAGCACCGATTAAATTCCCAGCTCTATTCTAGGTGCTGCTCTGAGCACAACACTAACGCTCAACGCCTCACTTTTCTCAGCTGTAATGTACAGCACCGTATTCCCACCCTACATGACTTTTTTGTCTAGTTTATTTTCATTTCTTTGTTTCTTTCTTTTTTTCTTTTTTTTTTTTTTTGAGACAGGGTCTCCCTATGTTGCCCAGGCAGGCCTAGAAACTCACAATCCTACTGCTTCAACAGTAATCCTACATGCTGGGATTACAGATATGTGCTGCCACACCCGGCCTCCCCATAGCTTTTTTTTTTTCTTTCTTTCTTTCTTTTTTCTCAGTACTGGGGCTTGAATTCAGGCCTTCACCTTGAGCCACTCCACCAGCCCTAGTTTTGTAGAGGGTTTTTTGAGATAGGGTCTCAAGAACTATTTGCCCGGGCTGGCTTCGAACTGCAATCCTCCTGATCTCTGCCTCCTGAATAACTAGCATTATAGGTCCGCCTATAAAAAAAACCATCAAAAAAATGGGCCGGTGGAGTGGCTCAAGGTATAAGTCTTAAGTTCAAGCCCCACTGCCAGAAAAAAAAAACAACCAATGGAACAAGAAAGGTAACAGTCAAGGTTAAGCACAATCCTCCAGGCCAGTGAGGGCGGGTTCTGCCTGCTGGGGGGTGCTGCCTGCCCTCCGTTGACCCCCTCCTTTCCCCCAGATGCACATGACCCTGTGTGACCTGCAGCTGGGGCTGAGCAGCTCCCACCGGGCCCTGGAGAAGCGGATGGACGCTCTGGCAGGGAAGCTGGACACCCTGACCGAGTTGCTGAGCACCGCCCTGGGGCCACAGCAGCTCCCAGAACCCAGCTCGGAGGCCACGTAGCCGGTGAGGGGGTGGGACAGGGCAGGAAGAGCCACTGGAGGAAGGCCTGAAAACAAGGCCACCCTTTCTCTCGGGCTTGGGCTCTGCCAAGAGGAAAGGACTGAGTTCAGGGTGCTCTTCCCTGACCCTCCATGCCCGACTCCTCTTTGCTTGGCCTCTGTCCACTCCTGCCTGTCCCACTGCCCACCTGCAGTCTGGACTCTTGTTCCCGGGCACACTGCCCTCTTCCTCCCACCCTGCAGTGGCTCTGCCTGTCCCTCTGCTTCTGGCCCACTTGTCACCCCATCTTTGTCTCCCAGGACCCATGGAGGAATCAGCCCACCGGCCCCAGGATGGCAGTCAAGACCGTCCCTTGGCAACTCCTGCCCCAGCCCCGTGGATAAAACACCTCCAGGTGTGAGGACCAAAGGGGACATCCCCTGGGCAGCCCAGAGGGGACACTGACTAACAGGGGATGCCTGAGACCTCCAGAGGCCCCAAACGGAAACACGGTCACCACTACACCGCATACCCTCCTCCGAAGCCTTCCCACTGTGCTGCTATAGAGGACCCCTGGCTTCGGGTGGAAGTGAAGGTGCCGGCCGGGCCCCTGGGTGCGGGGGAGGTGGGGGCGGGGCCTGGGGCCCCGGACGCTTCAGTCGCCGCGGGACGGCCGAGCTGAAGGAACCGGGCTGAGCGGGAGGCAGCGGCCCCTGGTGGGCAGCCGGGAGGACGGCATTTTCCCAGAGCTGCGGAGACGGTGGCGAGGGGCGTGGGGGATGGGGGTGGCTCACACCAGTCTCTGCTCTTGTACTTTGTAATAAATGCTCAACAAAGCCAGAAGTTACTGCTTCTTTCTACACACTCCAAGCTGCCAGCGGAAGGCCCTCACCTGTCTGAACCTCAGTTTCCCCGTTTGTAAAAGAGGCCTCCTTGAAGGGCCCTTCTCAGTTCTATAGGCTGAGGGGTCCCCAACCACCCTCTTGCTAGGTCTGAGGATAAACGCAAGCACTTTGGATTCAAACAAATGGGGATCCAAATCCTGATCTGCCATCTCCTTGCTGTGTGACTTAAGGCCAGTATTTGTACCTCTTCACCTGTAAAAGGGGCTGCCTCCCCACCAGAAGGGCTGCAAAGACTGCAACAAAGAACGGCACAGAAGGTCAGGAACTTAGTTAGGAGAGAGGATCATTTTTAGTACCGCTTCTGACTGTCACACACAATGCGTGGCCGTCCTTCCTCACTGGTTCCCCATCTATGCATGCCTCACCAGGCCCTGGGTGACAGCTCGCCCATCAAGAAGCTAGTGCAAATTGCCCTCCACACCCAGGCTTGGCCTCAGAGAGGAAAGGAAGGGTCAGCAAATCACAGAGTCCCGGCTATGTGCCCAGCTGTGTGCTCCCTGCCTCTCCCTTCCCACTGCACAGACACAGAAACTGAGGGTCAAGAGCAGTCCCACCTGGCCCATGGCCTCAGCCAGGAAGCTAGCATCCGGGCCGCAGAGCCCAGAGTCACAGGCGGCCTGTGGAGCCCTCCACCCTCCCTGCCCTGCCCTAGGTGAGTCAGCCAGCTGGCCTTGGGCCTCGAACCCAGGCCTGACTTCCCACAGGGCTTCATTCCAGCTGGAGGGGCTGATTCACACTCGCTTCCCCACTTGAAGGGGAAGCCCAGGCTAGGAGTCATCCTCCTTTGCACAGCTATCTTTGGATTTCCCTAAAAGCCCTCAGCCAGCTTCAGCCCTTAGCCCTGAGAGCTAAATCAGGCCACTACCACCCACTGCCCTTCCTCTGGATACTAGCCCACCTAAGAAGTCAAGGCAGGGCTGCAGGAAGGAACTAGGGAGCCCTCCAAAGATACCTTGATACCATTCCCTGTAAGACACCCTTCTAGTGGTGAAGCCAAATCTGCTAATCCCCTTCTGCTGGGACTATTTTCCTTAACCTACAGGAAGAGGCCTCATCCAGGTGTGGTGATGCCCTCTTGCAATCCCAGTTACTCGGGAGGTGGAGGCAGGAGGATCAGGGGTTGAGGCTAGCCTAGGAAAAGTTAATAAGACTTGTCTCAAAAAAAATAAATAAAAACATAAAAGGCTGTGTGTGGCTCAAATGGTAGAGCACTTACTTGGCATACATGAGGCCCTAAGTTCAACCCTCACTGCCACAAAAAAGGCCTCAGCTTGGATGTTTCCTCCTCCAGGAGGCCCTATCTGGTAACCTGTCCCTGTCACAATACTATTTAGTAGGCTTAAGCACCATGCTGAGCCCTTTATACAAACGTTCTCACAAAAGGAGGCAAAGTGGGCACAGTGGTCTGGTTTTACAGATGAGGAAACTGAGTCACAGGAAGATTCAAGAACCTGCCCAAAGCCATAGCAAAGAGGTGGGGGAAGCTGGGCCCAGCTGCACACACCTATAATCCCAGCACTTGGGAGGCTGAGGCAGGAGAATCAGTTCTAGGCCAGCCTGGGCTAGAGAGAGAGGAAACACGGGCAGGCCTGGATTCAGAGACACATCACTTGGCCAACTGGCCTCCTTTCAGACACTTAAAGGTCATCATACTGTATTTTCATTTTTGTTCGTCACTGGGGCTTTTTGTTTTGAGACAGTGCCTTGCTATGTAACCCAAACTCACTATCCTTCTGCCTCTGCCTGAGTGCTGGGATTACAGGTGTGCACTACCACTCCCAGTCCCAGTCTTCCCAGAGAAGATACTATTGTATCTTCTCTTCTATGCCAACGGTCTGGAAGACATAAGGCCTCAGTGAATGTCACCAAAGGAATACACCAAATACTAGGGCGGCCAGAAATTCAGTTAGAAGGGGTTTTTGACTAAGAAACCAGGAGGACACAGAAGAGACCCCGTGTTCCAGAATAAACTGGGTCTGCCCCAGGCTATCCACCACCATTCTTTCTTGGTGGGGCTTAGGTCTTGATGCCCCCATTCCAGCAGATCTGCACCGCCTCACCATATCAATGCTTCCTGATGGCCCCGAGCCAGGAGCTGGCTGCAGACATGAGTCACAGGACTCAGTCTCCGGCATTTTTGGCTACTTCCCTCTCCTATTTCTGTCTGGCCTTCACCCCCACAAAAGGACTGCATGGGGCAGACAGCTCAGAGAGGGACAGGGACTTGCCCAGATTACCCAGGGGCCAGTCCTGGCCTCTCACCTCCATGTGCCCTCCTTATGGCCTGAGGACCTTTCTAACCCCAGATTTGGCCAGGCCCTTCCCTGCTTAAGACCCCTCTGTGACTTCCCACCACCATCCTATCAAGGTCTAACTGCCCCCGACACACACACTCTCTGGTTTGTTTGTTTGTTGATCTAGGGCCTTGCTATATAGCTCAGGTTGGACTTGAACTCCAGATCCCTCTGTCCCAGCCCTCAGAGTGCTGGGACTACAGGCATGCATTACCATGCCCTGCTTCCCTCCTCCTCTTCCTCCTCTTTTTTTTCCTTTGAAAAATATTTTACACAAACTATACAAATTTTAAGTGCAATGGCAGTGATTTTTGCATATGTATTTGCCTGAACAGTCATCATTCCAATCAAGCTAGCAGTTTCCAGTGCCCCAAAAGCTCTCTCAGACAACGCCCTCCTCTCCCTAGTAACCACCGTCCTCACCTCCATCCATCCCTTTTTCCCAATTTGAACCTGGAGGGAACTCAGCTGCATGCTGTCTGACATGTGCCTCTGCTCTTGGCACAGTGGGGCCCCCAAGGGGTCAGCAGATCCATAAGCTTTACCTGGGGACCCTGTCCCCCTTGCTGGCTCCCCTCCCCACCCTGGCTGCTGGGTCCCTGGTTCCTCTTTCTTCCCCAACAGTCTTTGCTTAACTGCCCACTGCTTGCCCATTCCAGCCACTGAAAACAAACAGCCCCAGTATTTGCCCCAATCTTTATTATGGTCATAAAAGAAACTGTTTGCCATCCACACCTGAGCGGCAAGTACAAAGACCTGCTTGGAGCGTTTATGCTGTGTGGCATAGCTGCCAACACATAACACCCAGGATGGGGGGTGGCAAAGAGCAAAACCTGAGTGAGCCTTCAGTTCAAGGCCAACTCCCTCTCCACTTATGCCCTGCCTCCTCTTCAGTTTTCCTACTCTTACTCCCATTCACATGTAGACTGTGCTGTAACTTCTTACATCTCATCAACATCTCACTGGTTACTTGCTCATCTTCACTTGAAGTTCACAGTCTTTATTCTAACTTATTCTAAATACTATAAAATGACTAATAAGTGGAGGCCCTTTAAAAGTGAGTTCTTGGGCCAGGTGTGGTGGTTCATGCTTGTAATCTCAGCTACTCAGGAGGCAGAGAAGGAGGGAGGTTTGAAGTTAGCATGGGCCAAAGTTAGCCAGACCCTATGTCAAAAAGCAAACTGGGTATGGTGGCACATGCCTGTGGTCCCAGCTGCTTGGAAGTTGGAGGTTGGAGGATCTCAATCAGAGGCCAGCCCCACCAAAATCGTGATACTCTATCTGAAAAACAAACTAAAGGCAAAAAATATTGGGTGTGGCTCAAGAGGTCCTGAGATTAATGCTGAGTATTGTGTGTGTGTGTGTGTGTGTGTGTGTTCTGGGGTTTGAACTCAGGGCTTCATGCTTGCCAGGCAGGTGCTCTACTACTTGAGCCACTCTGCTATCCCTTTTTGGTGCTGAGTGTTTTTGAGATGGGGGTCTCATGAACTATTTTTGCGGGGCTGGCTACGAACCGAGATTCTCCTGGTCTCTGCAGCCAGAGTAGCTAGGATTATAGGCATGAGCCACCAGTGCCAGCAAAAAGTTCTTATAGAAGGAACTCCTGCTGACAAGGACTTGGAAGACTCAGACAGAAAGCCAAAGACACAGACATGCTGGCAGATGCTACTTAAAGGATGTTCAAAACATGCACAAGGAATCCACAATGAGGGCCTCAGGTCTTCGGTGGCTTGGGAGCAAGGGATTTGGAGGGAAATCAGCAGGAGAGCTGTCCTAAACACATACATTACTTTACCCCTTGCCCCGGGTAAGACAGACAGCTTAGCACTTACAATTCCTCCTACAGTGTCTGTATTCAGACACTCAGAAGTGTCTGTAACATGGTTACACTGGCGGATTTAGGAGCCTCATCTTTGTTATGTGGACCCTGAGTCCTACCTCCAGCTGATCACCCCGTCTCTGGGGACCTTTGTCCCTTGGCTCCAAGTCATAGCTTCCCCTGATGCCCCTGCTTCTCAGCCCTCTCCAGGATGCTCCCCCTGCCCTTGACCCCTGGGGGCCCAGCTCTGCCTCTTCTCTCCAGCCCTTGAACTCAATGACATCAGTAAATCCCAGGACTTTAAATAACATCTACACACAAGCAGCCCCTATCATTACTGGTAAAAGGGCACAATAACTGTCATTTGCTTAAAACAAATAAACAAAACTCCAGGAAGGGAAAAGGTGCTTATGTATGGGGCAGGAAAATAAAAGAAATGAGACAAGTAAAAGGTGGATGACTGTGGGACTGGACGATGGGTCTGTGGGAGTTCTTTATGCCATAATACCTTCATGTATGTTTTTAAATTCTATAACGAACCACTCTGCAGGCTGAGGCTGGAGGATCACTGATTTGAGGCCAGCCTG